GGGCAGACACGCAGCAGCTTCCAACGCCCCAGCTGGGTTCATTTAGAAAAGAAAACGCCAGCGCGAGCCGCGCAGGTACGCAGTTCTCCCGGAGCCCGCCGGGTCTCCGCGCTGGTACCAGCGAGGTCGGCTTGGAGAGCTCCGGGCCGGCCCCAGCCGCCACAGCCTGCTCGAGCCTCTCCCTGCGTTCTTTTGGTCGCGGTTGCTTTTTATTTATTATTATTTTTTTATTGCAATAGAAATAAAATTTCCTCTGGGTGCCATCGAGACCCCAGGCAGGTTGTAATCTTGCAATCCTTCGCTCACCTCGCTGCGCCGGGGCCGGGCTCCCCGCGCTGGAGCTGTAGAAGGCTGTGAGCGACGGCTGCCGCCTAGGACTGGCTGCCCTGCGGTCGAGAGCCGAATATTTATGTTATATTTTAAAGAATTTAAATAAATAAATAAATATATAAAGGGGCTCTCCCCTCCCCTCCAACCCAGCACAGGAGCCATCTGCTCGAAGCTATTGCTGTTCCCATCTCTCCTTTGTTACCGCAGACACGTTAGTAAGAATTTGTGCATTTACTATTATTATTTTGGGGGTGTATATATATATATATTTATTAAAGTGAGGTTCTTGGGAGAGGGATGCCTTTTAAGGGAGGAGGGAAGAGGAGTCGCCTTTATTTTTTCAATGTTGTAATGTCAAAGGAGACTTGCTGGTTGTATTTAAAACAAAATGTTTTGCAATCAGATTTGAGCCTGGTCTCATCAAGAGGCATTTGACCACTTGACATTTATTTCCTTGCTTTTAGTAAGCTACAGCCAAGGGTTATTTCACAGCCCCTTCCTACCTTTAGGTGAGGTAGTTGTTAAAATATCCATACTCCCAGAGCTTAATTTGTCCAGGAGGCGGTTTGCCCCTGGGAACCCCCTGTATAATTGTAAAGATTGTTTTTGGGGAGGGGAGAGAGTCGATGGGAAGGGGGGAGAAGCTGGTAGCCCGGCACAGGAGCATCTGCTGTTGGGTATTCTGGAAAAGGCAAGTAGGTTTGCTGTCCCTCTCTGGGCATCCCTGGGACATCCTGAGCAAGCTCGGGCCAGAGGGACGGGTGGCAGCTGGGCCTGGGGGTGAGGGGTGCTCGGTGTGACACCCTTCCATTCTGCATTGGTTCACTGTCTCACCCTTGCTCAGGGCAGCTGGGAAAAGCCAGCTGACGTTGTAGCAGAAGCAGAGAAGGCAAAGTGTTGGGAAGCAAAGAGGGCCAGGAGACTAGGCTGCTAAGCAATTCTACCTGCCTTCCGGGGGGCCCTGGGAGCCCGGGGATTGTTTAAGGGGTTTAAGCAAGAAGAGCGGTCCAGCCAGTGCTCAGAAAACGCTGCTTTCCTTTCTGTGCTCCATCACCCCGGAGGTGGTAAGACAGAGATGCAGGAGATCCACCGTGGCCCAGGGAATGTGGCTAGTAAGCTGTAGGATGCAGGAGCCCTGGTTGCAAGGGCTCTGAAGCCCTGGCCAGGAAAGCAGATGTTGTCACGGCCCCTACAGGCGCTCACATGTGAGATTTCAGATGTGAAGGAAACCATCTAAAATGTAGTGTATCGTTTTCAGTTGGGTGACAGCCTTGGGCCTGTGGGGCAACAGCTTAACGTTCTTTGAGGGTGATGCAACTTAGAATCACCGATGGCCAAGGAAACCAGAAAAACACAAACATAGCATCCATGATCTTGGTGTGTTGGGTGTGGGGGTAGGAGAAGGACCCCATCATGAGTTAGTTACGTTTTAAAAGCAGGGCAGGTAAGAAGGGGGACGGGGAAGCTCAGAGTGGCAGGCAGCTGGAGAGGAAAACCTGGCCTTCTGGTTTCAGAAGGTTTGACCCAGATGGATTCGGCTTTTCAAACAAGAGGACAGATACAGACAGCCACTAATAAAAACAAACACAAAAAAACACAGGGACAGTGGTAGAAGCGGGGTAGGAGAGGCAACCTCTCTTACCAGGCAGAGGGAAGGGCCATGCCGCCAGGCAGGGTCAGGCAGAAGGAAATGTACTTTGCAGTCGGTGGGGAAGCTCGAGGCTTTCTGAAGAAATAAGGGAGGTAAAACGGAGTGGTCAACTACAGAACCCTAATTAAGCCAACTTTTCAATAACCCACCAACAGGTTTCCAAGGAAGACTAGTAATTTTTGTATGCCTTCATAATTTTGCACAACAACCAGACACCTCAAATTAGCTGCAGAAGTTAGGCTAGCTGTATTAATTTCATACCAGCCTCTTCAAATAGGGTTTGTGATTGTTGCATGTTTTAAAGGTGGCTACATTCACAATGACCTGAACCCTAGAGTGCAGTATGTCTATAATGGCCCACTTATCTTACTAAATCGTGTCCCTGGTAAATTTCGTAGGACTTGGGCCCTCTTTTATTTTCGTCTTTTTGGTAGTCAGGTAGGGGCAATGAAGTTTGTCTGCCTTTTGCACAGAAGGGAACCCCATGTCATTAGAAGTGTGATATGTCAGCAGCTTGGGTTCCATGGGAGAATAAAAGTGTGTTTGTCAAAGGTGTTATGCCAGGTTGATTTTATTCATCTGTAATTCACACCGGAGAGAAAGCAGCTATATGCATATTTTAACAACCCCAATATTTTTTAAAGGGTATTCCCTCCGCTCTTATTTGAAGATTTTTGTATAGATGCATGTTTATTGTTTGGAGCCTGGGCTTTGGTAGATTTTTGTCTGGTCTTCAAGATCCTTCATAACAGAAAAGCGAGTTGATTCTTTAGTCCTGGAGTGAATATGGTTGCTCCTGGGGAACTGAGACTTGGGAGGGTCAGGATTAGATGACTGGATGCACTTTTCTCCTTACCACCAAAGGTCTCAGCGGGTCTTCCTTGGCCGGAAGAAAGGGCGACTTTCGGCATGTTTGGCAATAATTGGAGCTATGTCTCAGGTGAAATAGATGCATGTAAAACAGTCTAGTTACAGACTCCGGTTTTCCTACAGCAGCCAGCCAGCCAGCCAGCCAGCAGGTTTTCAGCACCTAATCAGACTCTAACTCCTGACCGGTCCTCCTAACCTTTACGTATCCATTTTGCACCTCCTATCTCATTGCCGTGCACTCTTTGTTGCTTGTTGTGATAAAATACTTCACAAAGTAAACTTTCGGTGGAATTGGCTTTGGTTAACGGCAACCCTGATGCTTCAAGCCTCGCCTAGCGCCTCTCGTCAGCTAGGGGGCGCTCGGTGCCCGTGTCATGGTTGTGGTGGCTCCGCTATTCCTGGGAACCCGTGTCCATCAGCAGCATCGGCCGGCGGCAGCAGCAGCGGCTGCAGTTTGTGTCGCTGCAAAATGTCTTAAGCGTGAAGTTGTAATATTGATTTTCCGGCAGAGATTCGTGCAGGATAAAATGAGAATATAAGTTTGAGAAATCTATTTTCAAGCTATCGCCATCGATTTGTAAGCCCTTACCTGGCAGGTGGGGAGGTATTTTCTTTTCCTTCAATTTCCTTTTCTTTTTAAACAATTAAAATTGCTATATCTGAATGAGCACATGTCCCCTGATCTGTCCATGGTCTTGACGTTCTGAACATTTTGTTTTGTTGGTAAGGTATTCAGAATCCATTTGGGGAGTCTGGGAACAGTGAATACCATTTTAGGGGTGGTCCATCTTGGTGCATGTTACCTGGGGTGGGGAGGGGGGAACATACCACTGTGAATTGCTGCTTAAGGGAGTCCTGGACCCAAGACAACTTGATGAATGGCAATCCTTCCAGGTCCGATCCGTAGCCCCCTCCGTGCCATCCATCCCATAGTGAGCCCACAGAACTGAGCGGAATCAGCTCTTTCCCTAAAGACCTAACATAGCTCAAATCATGTGGACAATCCTGTTTGCATGGAGTGTGTGCTTGCCAGGGCCAGCAGCAGCCTTTCACCCCAAACAGTACCCTTCGTATCATGGGGCTGCATTGCTCCCCAAACATGTGATTTAGTACTGGGGGATATATGTGCGGTGTTGGTGGTGGGATTGCTAGGTCTATAACGTCTTAGCTTTAGAGGTCCAGCCCAGCGGGCTGGAGTCCTATGCATGAGTTCGGTGGGTGAGCTGAAGAGCTTGCCCTGACACGGGAAAATGCTTTTATTCTAACCTGAAAGAGAAATAAATTAGGTCAGACAAAAGCCTTCGCTGTCATCAGCTGGGGGAAGAGGGCCAGCCATTTATCTGATGATTTC